AAGTATAAAAGAGAATGCTGCAGAGAGAAAGAGAGAGAGAGAGAGAGAGAGAGAGAGAGAAAGAGAGAGGTATACATACTGACACACACATGCACATATATATATATATATATATATATATATATATATATAACGAATCACAGACTGGCAGATAAAATTACTCAAGACAACGTGGAGACTATAAATGTGAGTGCTATTAAATGAATATTGAACCTGGCACAACGACCCCATTGTGTATATGTGTGTGTGCGTGTATATGTATACGTATATATCGAAATAAATATTGTCTATTAGTAATTAAGAGTAAAACTATTTTAAAATTGTAGTTAAATAAAACGTGTTCTAACACAAATACAACTAAAAAGAATCTTTAAATATATAAGTAAGAAAAAAAATGCCAAAAAACTTTATGCCGTTAATAAAAAAAACCCACGTGACATGCATTTACCGGATGTCAGAATTCGTTGGAAAATACAACCCTACTCTCCCTAAACTTAACTCTTTTTCGAACGTAACTCATAATTGATACAACAATAGTTAATAAAAATGAACACGCTACCGCCCCTGTCTGAATGATTGGATTTCTCTGTATCCTTGGAAACAGTAAATTATGAATTTATATGTGCGTTTAAAACTCAGTAAATTTAAAAATAAGTTACTCCAATATTCGCTTGAAGATGAAATGGAAGTAATGCTTTGAATTTAATTATATAATTAAATTTAAAGTTTTTAACTTCCATTTTTGAAAGATGGTTATTACTGTGTAGCGAAAAGAACCATATTTTCAATCAGTCAATTTATAATATATATATATATATATATATATATATATATATATATATATAGATATAGATATAGATAAACCTAGTGACGATCCGTTTAGGACAAACCTACCTAGGGTTTCACCTAAACGGATCGTCGGGGGAATTTTTTTTGCAGAAATGTTTTTCCTGACGATCCATTTTCAAAAATTGAGGGTTTTTCGAAACGAGTCTAGTTATATATATATATATATATATATATATATTTCTGGCTACACTGGAAATCTAAATTTATCTAGGTCTGCTTTAACGGTTGTATTGAGCTCTTTTGTTAATTTCATTAAGTTGTTTACTCATGTATCGGGGTTTTTTCTTTGGAATCCTCCAAAACGACTCAGACCTGCATCCAAACTAAATTTCTTCATTAATTTTTTGTCGGCAGAAGTCCATGTTTGTAGCTCTTTCTTTTTTAGAACCTATTTTTTTACCTCGAGATTGATTTGATTAGCAAATCTAAAAAATTGAGGGTTTTTCGAAACAAAGAAGTCTAGTTGATATATATATATATATATATATATATATATAATTTTATATGGTCCAGTACATAGTGGAAATCGCTCACTATCAGGGATAGAGGTAACATTTTTAATTGAATGGATATGAGACTGTGACCGTCTTAGAATATTTCAACGGCTTCCTACTCTATTTTTAATTTTCATTAATGTCCTCCCTGATAGAATCGGCTGTCAGCTTCGTATCTACGACATTCGTTCTCTGTTGTATTTAATAAATATATATATATATATATATATATTAATACCTATGATTGACTGGTATAAAAAAAACGGATAGTACAATTTCGAAAAAAAAACATAATCAAACAAACTGTAATCTGGGGGAAAATTTTGAAAAAGAAGAAAAGAATAAAAACATACGAATAGGTCGGAAAAAATCGCTCAACACCGCAATGCCGAGTCAAAAGAAAAATAGGCCAATTGAGTAAAATAAGAAAAGACGTAAAGGGCTCAATATACTAAGTAGAGCAAATTAAAAAATTCTAATGAGTCAGAAAGTACCTACCTACCTAGGTTTCACCTAAATGGATCTTCCAGGCGAACTGGTCATATATATATATATATATATGGATGATTACTTTGATTTGCACAGTTTTTGTGGAATCAAAGATTCAAAAGTCAATGTTTTATCAATCTTGTCATCGAATCGCGACGGATTTTTATCCTATTTAATTGAATTTGTATTAAATTGATCAAAACCTTTTATGGATATTGATTTTCTTGATCGAAAACATAAGTTTCCAAGCATTCAATTTAAATGTCATAAGACATTTTACTTGACTAAGTTTTTCTAAGAAAGGTGAAAAAAAAAAAAAAAAAATGAAATAGAGTTACCTCCCTGAAATATTTAATGAGTTATTCACCTTGTTACCTTAAGAAAAAGTTTTTAATTGTGCATCTATCCTAGTAAATATAAATAGTTAAGATCCAAAGTTACATTTATTGGTCCTGTTCAAAATTTCATTTTTTTACTGCAGGTGAACATGCAGTAAACTATCGTTTTGTGTTGCATTGTATTGGTGTTTTTCCTTGATTTGACCAACAGAAATCATAATTTGTTGGATGTTTACATTTTTCAGAATTTATGGCAAATGTCAGATTCAAAAACTCAAAATTATATCATTTTTGATCTATAAATCAAATCACCACGGATTTCATCCTGTTTAATATTATTGGTTCTCAAATTTGTATTAAATTGAACAAAACATTGATTAATGTTGATTTTCTTAAATGAAATCCTAATAGTTTGCAAAGGTTGGCAAACAGGAAAATTTCGTTAGAAGCAAAGAAAAGAGTGTGAACTGTTGCTAGTGAAATAACATCCAAGTGCGGAGAAGAATGTTATTAGGAATATATATATATATATATATATATATCCAAAGAAGAATCAGAAGTCCCACTATAAACCTACCATTCATCCATATATATATATATATATAATAAATTCTCCACAAACATTTAACTTTGGGTATAGCACAAGGTCATCAACGACAAAATATAAAACAAATAATATTCCTTTTAGAAAAAACCAGGATAAAGCATTTATATAGCGAATATATAACATGATAATGAGAATATTTTTAGGACAGATAGAGAGTTTATTCAATGTTCCTTGTCAGTGAAAAGATTTTCAAGAATTAATCAGTCCAGATTAATTAATATTTTACATCGTTAATTTGTGTTATAGCTTGATAAAGATTAAGGTAAGAGTTGTCATCCTTTACTTGTTGAATATTGAATATAAATTTTTTTTTGTTAATGAAACAGAAAGAATGGAAGTTTAAATATTACGGGAATTAATTTGATTCAACAAATTGAACTGTAGTTTTAGCTTTGAATTGAAAGCTAAAGGATTGAATTTACTATTTCCATTATCCAAAAATACTCTGTGAGCGTATTTCAAACATAAATTATATTGACTTGGTAGTGGATTCACTTCTTTTTGGTTAAAATAGTTGATTAGTGACCATTTTTAGTACTCAGCTGTCATTATAATAATTTTTTTATTAGAAAATCTTCCACACATAAAATATACTTTTCTGAAATTTTATTTAAGGAATATTTAGATGATTTAAAATATAATTAAATTAATAAAAACAAATATTACAAATCCACTTTAGTTGATCTATAAACGTACCATTCATCCATTTTTAAAATAAACTGCCACATTTGGTGATTATCTCTTTGTTATTGTATCAAAAAATCTCCTTAATAAAATGATCCCTAAAGATTTTGACAATTTTATTGGTCCTGATCTAAAAACTTTACCATTCATCCATTATTTAAGAAATTAAATGGTAAAACATTTTTCTTATTTTAATTTTAAGTGGTCAGTAATCTTGATAAAATGTTAGAAATATTTTTCCGTATAAATCTATTATTTTAAAAATGTTGAGATTTTTAAATTTCCTTATAAGATCCAAACAAGAATAAATATTATTTTTTCTATAAACTTGATAATGTCAAAAAGAAAGTTTTATGGTCACCCATAATTTCAAATTGGTCACGTTTATGCGCATATAAAAATTATTTTAAAATCTTAAAGAAGGATATTCAAAAAGTTTATCTAATTAACATCAGTTTTTGATCTATAAACTATTATTTTCATTCATCCATTAAGAATATTAATGATTAATGAGGTCAAAGTTTTGAAGAGCTTTTATTTGATCTTTTTGATAAGATGTAGAAGAATCAGCAATAATTGGTAAAAATAAAAAACAATCTTGTAAAGCAAGAATCATCTGCCACATATTTTCTTCCGACTATATTTAAATGAATATAAATTATTTATAAAAGCAATTAAAAGTTTATCTAATTAACATCATAGTTTTTACCGCAGTTTTTATTTTACTTAAGCAGATTTTCCATTAATGTTTGAAAAAAATAGATAGAATATTGCATTCCACATATAAAATGTCAAGAACCATAGATATAAAGAAGAACCAAAATTTTATTTATGTTTTATTTATATTTACCTTGAGATTGATGCTGAATCCAAAGAAGAACAGCAAGGCTTAACTGATCTATAAACTACCATTCAAAGATGATTCATTATTGTGTCATGAGCCATTTTTCTCTATCCAAGCAATGAGTTACATATCCATATTCTCCATGCTTAGAATATTGCTGCCACATATGGTCCGGTTAAAGATTTTCCAATAATTATTGGTCCTGATCTATAAACCTACCTCATTTTTGATCTCCTTGATAAGATCCAAAGAAGAATCAGCAATATTATTGGTCCTGATCTATAAACCTACCATTCATCCATGCTTAGAATATTGTTGCCACATATGGTCCGGTGATATCTGCTATTTACCTTGATCCTCCTTGATAAGATCCAAAGAAGAATCAGCAATATTATTGGTCCTGATCTATAAACCTACCATTCATCCATGCTTAGAATATTGCTGCCACATATGGTCCGGTGCTCCCTGCTATTTACCTTGATCTCCTTGATAAGATCCAAAGAAGAATCAGCAATATTATTGGTCCTGATCTATAAACCTACCATTCGTCCATTGCCACATATGGTCTCCTGCTATTTACCAAGATCTCCTTGATAAGATCCAAAGAAGAATCAGCAAATTATTGGTCCTGATCTATAAACCTACCATTCGTCCATGCTTAGAATATTGCTGCCACATATGGTCCGATGATCCTGCTATTTACCAAGATCCCCTTGATAAGATCCAAAGAAGAATCAGCAATATTATTGGTCCTGATCTATAAACCTACCAT